GTTTAATTGCTAGATTCGGGACTTTAATCCGTAATTGTTATTGTCTCGTTTCGTTAGTAGTAAACTAGGGGTCGTGCATCTCTAGGGTAGCGTGAACATAAGTTAAATGGTCCGAGCTTTTGCGTCCATTGCTTAGACTGATCTATTTTCCTCATAATTAATGCTGCTAGTGTATTAAACCTAGAGAGCTTATTCTAGGTTGTCCACTAGTTAGGTTTAGTCGAAGAGCCTATTTCGATTAAATATTCGGTAAGGGAAAATTCGGTTAACAGAGCTTGTTGTTAGCTAGGGTTGGTAATTCATTAGCAATTTAAAAAAAGCGTCGACATTAATTAACGGTAGATTGAGATTGGGTGATAACTGAACCAAGAACTGGACTTCTCTCATTTTATTTAATTTTTATTTTATTTTATTATTTTTATTTTTATTTTTATTAAACCAATCCCCCCACCTTTTATTGCTTTCTTAGTTTAGTTCAATTAATACAAAATTATCACAATTTAATTCCTGCTCCTCGTGGGATCGACCCTTACTCGCCGCTACTACTAGATAGTAGAGGTTAGTCGAGGAAAAATATATAAATTTAAATTTGCCGCGTCGCGACGTGCGGTCAGCAACTTATGGGTCTTTCAGAAGGTTTGGATGTCGGAAAATATTATTATTCGCACTGCTCTTCGGGATTGGTCTGAATTCTGTCGGTTTGGTGTTTAGTACTATGTTTCTTTGGTTTTCTCTTTTTTATGTCTTGAGGCTAGGTTCTTATGTTTAGTGGTCTCTTTGTGTTTTGTTATTTTGTTGTGTGTTAATGTTTAGTTATTGGCTAAAGGGTCTGAATCCGTGCATTTGCCTTTAGTCGGGTTTTTAGTTTTGTTTGTAGGCCACTGCTTGGAGTGGTTCTCCGTTTTATTTTCCAGACTGTAAGAGCTAGTAAGCTCTCCAGATTGTACTTGTATTTGGTGTGGTTCATATTAATATGCGATTGTTATCGTTCGAAAAAAAAAACAACGCAGTCTTAAATATATGAACACGAAACAAATCATACAAAAACATATGAATTGTAATAGAAAAATATAATAATACTTCATAATAGTTGGTCGAAGGTTCGACTGTCTTAATTTCGCAGGGTTTCACTTGGAACCTTCAATTAACATGGTCTAAGTTGCTTCGGATTAACAGACAAGAAAAGTTTGTAATAGTCTACATTTCTTTCACGCAGCCTGTTAGTTGACTTTAGCAATCATAGTGGGCCAAACGATGACTTAGGCCCAATTGGAACCTTCACTAACATGGTCTAGCTCTAATAAACAACCAAATTGGTAAATAAAATAAAAACTACTCAATATAAAAATAAATGAAGTTTAAAGATAGATGGTGTAATTTCTCAATATTTATCCACACCAACACCGTGGATGGTATTGTCATGTTAATTATGTCTTTTTTGCTCCAGTCCTCAAAGTGCACAAATAGGCCTTTAAGTGAGCCGAGTTGACCTCGAACTAATTAGTGTGCTCGTCGCTCGAGGCCTCAAGTCTTTAATGAGCTAGAAATCGAGCTCGAGTTCAACTCTTTTACTAATATTAACGAGCTGAGTTTAAGCCTTAGCGAGCCAATCTCGAACTTTAACGAGGCGAAATAGAAAATTATATAAATAATTTCTTTTTGAGCCTTTACGAGAGCTCGCTCGGCTCGACTCGGCTCGTTAAGGCATCGAACTCGAGCCTTAATAAGCCGAAATCGAGCTGAGCCGAGCCAAACTAGCTTAATTTAACAGTACTATGCACAATATAGACTCCAATCTACACAAAATTCAAACAGAAACAATACAAAATATATAAGACGAAAAATATATCAATAATCAATTGATTACCAATATCTAAAATATCCTAAATCATGCTAGGAAATGAACACATATGTTTAAATTATGAATTATCAATAACTCTAAACAAAAATAACCTATGGGCGGTTCCATATTTTTATGTGAATATATTTGTTTCAAACTCCACATAAAATTGACCAACAATAGTCTATACAAAAATCAAGTTTATAATAATGCGTGATACTTGGCACTACATATTCTTTTTTTTTTTTTTCCATACGACAATCAAAATACAATTAACTGAACATTATTGTATAGACCAAGTTGTAGTTTTACACAGAAAATCACAAAGAAACTACATAAAATCCTTTTTTCTCCCTAACATTGATAGTTTTTGGCTCAAAGTTTGTGATGAAACCCAAATTAATTAGTTTAGGCATTTCATCTTCAGACATTGTAATTTAATCTTCCGTTGGGGAAGTCAACAACATTAATTAATTTCTGTGATGAATACATTTTCTATAACGGGTTTGGATTTGCTCAACAACCACCTCATCCAATTCAAAAAACAGAGCCAACTAAAACACCTTGCATGTGCAATTCAATGCTATTTTTATTTTTCTTTGTTCTTTTTCGCTTTTCTTTTTGGTATTATATAGCTTTAGAACGACATAAACAAAAGCTCGCGAAAGATTCAAGTAAAATTTCGAACTTATTATAACCCTGTCGATCTCAAGAACTTATTATGATGCAATAATCCGAGTGTTTTTTCCCGTTCGTTCGAAGAACTATTTACTTGATTGCAAACATTTATGAATCCTTCTACCAACATATGTGTATGAATATCCTAAACAAAGTATAATAATAATAATTATTATTATACTTTTTTTTATTTTTTGGTACAAAACAAACTATTTTTTATTTTTTATTTTTTATTTTTTATTTTTTGGTACAAAACAAACTATAATTATTAATTCCTATACAACTACTAAGGCCTCTCGAGTCTTAAATGACGACATATGTTTAAGTCAATGAGAGTGATCATCATGTTAAGGGCTTTTCCTTGGCGCCCATACAAACAATATCTACTATTCCCTTGTGCTAGCTGGGCTTGACTTCAAGTTGGCAACACGTTTTATTGGACGGTTAGCTAAAACATTACATTTATTCACCTTTGGAGGTGTAAACTAGTAAAGTCGATTTCGGGTTTCTGATACTTGACCTCGGGCTCGAACTTTTGTCGAGTTGAGCTGATCTCGGCTCGTTAACGAGCTCAAACTCGACTAGTTTATCAATATTAACGAGCCGAGTGAGTCGAGTCATTTCGAACTTCTGATACTAGAACTCAGGCACGGGTCTTTATCAATTTGAGTTGATCTTGGCTCATTAACGAGCTCGAGCTCAACTCGTTATTTATATTAACGAGCCACATGTGAGTCTTAACGAGAAGAGTCAATTTCGAGATTTTGATACTCGAACTCGGGCTCGATCCTTAATCGAGCTGGGTTGATCTTGGCTCGTTAACGAATTTGAGGTTGACTCATTTTTTAATATTAACAAGCTGAACACGAGTCCTACGAATTGAGTCGAGTCGAGATGAGCCGGCTGAGCCGTCATCTATATGTATAGAATTGCTAGCAAAGCAATTAATAAAAATATTTTGTATTTCCTCCAAAAGACGTTATTTTGTATTAATTAAGTATTTATATTTTTTAATTTTTTATTATATAACAACTATTACTAACAAATTATAAAGTCACATTAAATAATATTTTAATCTAACTTTTTTTCAAACTATTTCTTTAACTTTTCTTTTATCACTCACTAAGCAAGTTTTTTTATTAACATTAGTTAACTATTTTTCATGATATAACCAAATCTTTTAAAATTTCGTACACAGTTGCTATAATAATAATTTCAATATTGTTTTATCTAATCAGTTGTTTATCATTATATTATTGCAATTAGTATAAAGATTAATATGTAAGTTAATAGTTTATATTTATATCGTTCATTTTTACTACTGATAAAATTTATAAAATATGATATGTTCATTATTTAACTTATGATTTTAAATATTACATACACATATATAATATATAAAATTGTATTTGCATCTGTGTATGTGCACATAATCGAATACTATCAATAAAGCTGATTTTTAAGGAGATGGATCTTCCCCATTCCTGATTGGCCAGAATACCAAAATAGTACAATAATTGATATCACATTTCTTCATATATATTAGCATTTACTGCGTTAATTTCTTGCCAAAGGATTAAAAAAAGACATTTAATTGGGTTAGCTAATTAACTACCTCGATATATTGTTAAGACAATCATTTCCAAGAAATATTCAATTGTAAATTGAATTAAATGTAACATAGTCTTATATGCTGTCAATCGTGCGCCATGTCACATGATTCACAGATGAATGTTACACAAATGTTAGAAAATTGAGGCAGCGGGGCGTATGTTTTTCAGAATATGCGTGACAAATAATCATCGATTTATGAAACATGATGTAAATAGTGTTTGAAGGTACAACTAGTAAAAGAAAAAACAAAAAAAAAACAGAACGTTTTATTTGCAAAATTATATAGATAAAAAAAATTAAAAATAAATATATAAGTTATTATTTTCCAATCAAAATTGATAAATTTAATTTTATTTATAGAAGCAGATACAATCATTATTTGTTAAAAACTTTCTACATGAAATATGAATTCAAATACTTCTTTCATATTCACATTCTTAATTTTATTCAAAATGATACCCTGTATAATATACCAGATATGGATAACTTTTTATTCAAATAAATTTGACACTCATATATATGTGTTCCTTATATGTTAATTCTTAAAGTAAATCTTACCCTACCAATGACTGCAGTACAATTATCGAGTTTTTAACCGTTGTATCAACACACACGTATAATCGAGTGCTCCACTCCCGTTTTACTATATCCTTGTCTTGTTCAAAACTTAGCTTTATATAATGACCTATCTTTTCATGCCCTTAAACACAAATCACCAACCCCAAAGCCTCACTAAAGATACACCCGACTTTATAAGTCCCATATTCTACACATATTTTTCTTATCCTCACCATTAGAACATTATTAAACTCCACAAGGTCCTTTCTTCTTAAATTTTAATTTGGACCCAAGAAAAAAAAAAAAAAAAATGGGAGTTGGGCTCAATATATTGATTGTGGGGTGTTTTGTCATTGGCCTGGCTATGGCAGAGCCTCAAGTCCCATGCTACTTCATATTTGGGGACTCTTTAGTGGACAATGGCAACAACAATGGCATGCAATCCTTGGCCAAGGCTAACTACATGCCTTACGGGATCGATTTTTCCGGTGGTCCCACCGGGAGATTCTCCAACGGCAAAACCACCGTCGACGTAATTGGTGAGCCCTTTTTCTCTCTTTCTCGTCAATCAAGAAATTGAGCTCATTTTTCGCTCGACATTTTGAAATTTTTTTGTTTTGGAAACACTTCTCTAATTTTCTAGGGGAAAGTATAACTAACTTTAGTTATGAGAAAGATGAAAATAACCCACATTTGACTGTTTTATTGTTGGACTGCAAACACTCACACACACCAACATGAGTGTGCGTAGATCTAACGGTATAAAATCCTTAGATACGAATTATCCCAATCTTGAAATGTTTATTAAGATTTGACTCGTATATTCTTGCAATTTTTCGCTGAGCTACTAGGGTTCGATGACGACATTCCACCGACACGCAACATTTTGAAAATTTTTCGTTTGAAAACACTTCTCTATATTTCTAAGGAAAGTATAACCAACTTTAGTTATGTGAAAGAGTGAAATTAACCCAGCTTCTTGTAAATCCTAGTTAAGTTATGTAGGAACACAATTGACTATTTTACTGTTGGAATGCACACACTCACACCCACACCCACACACTCGCATGGCTGTGTGTAGATCTAACGGTAAGAAAAGCCTCATACACGAATTGTCCCAATCTTGAAATGTTTATTAAGATTCGACTCATACATTCTCGTCGTTTTTCCAGCTGAGCTACTAGGGTTTGAAGGCAACATCCCACCGCACGCCACAACTAGCGGACAACAAATACTGCAAGGCTTGAACTACGCATCGGCCGCTGCCGGAATAAGACCGGAAACCGGCCGGCAATTGGTACACGATACACAACACAATTGTTTCTGAAAAAATCTAAGCTAACACATAATTACTAGACTTTTTTTTTTTCCTTTTTNAAAAAAAACAAAATGTTCGACTAGGGCGGAAGAATCGACTTCACGGGACAGGTGAATAACCACATGAGCACGGTCGAAAAAATTTCGAGCATGCTCGGGGACAAAGGCTCGGCCGCGAACCTTCTCGGAAAATGCATCTACTCGATCATAATCGGAAGCAACGATTACTTAAACAACTACTTCATGCCGGCTTTCTACTCGACCGGCAGCCGATATACGCCGGAGGAATATGCCGGCGATCTCATTCAACGCTATGCCGAGCAGCTGAGGGTGGGTTTTTTTTTTTTTTTTTTTTTAAAAAAA